GCCCTCATAAAGTTTTTATAGAATGTCTGAAATAAATGATCTTAGAAAAACTCAGGATATATGTCCTCTCTATATATGATATATATCACTGAATATTTACCTCAGAAGTATTTGCTTTCCAGGAGTAGGGATGTAGCTCAGTGATAGAGTGCTTGCCTGGTATGCATGAGGTTATGAGTTCAATCCTCAGCCCCATCAAAAGAAAGAAAGAAAAGTTTTTCTCTTCCACAGAAAAGTCATCTTCATAACAGAGCAAGAGAGGGTAAAGTAGAGAAGGAAATGTCAGTGTTCATCCCAGAATTATCAAAAGGGAAAAAGTACAGAGAAAAGAATTATCAGAGCAATTAGTTAAGAAACACAGGAGATCCAAAGATAAATAAGAAAATGGTAGAACCCAGGGGCTCAGACAAACAATCTTTCAAGATTGTTTTGCAGAATCTGGTGTGTTGGAAGGATGTTTTGAAGTGGAAGAAAAGCTTACATGTCTCTAACTGAGGGTTTTTCAAGCCTGATCAAAGTTGGGAATGGATAGTTCACAAGCTTGGTAACTGCGACAGTCCTCAAGTCAGATGCTGTAGCCAAGAAGTTGGGGTGAGAGAAATACTCATATTAGTAAGTTGGGGTGTATTTTGAGACCAGATATTTCATTCAACACTCCTTCCTGGGTCTCCTCATACATTTCGTGTTAGAGTGACAAAGTACGAACTTGGAAAGGACTTATGCCTTAGGGATATGCAACAGAGTTATTTCTATACGACATTTTGGAAAACATTTGGCTTATATCTTGAATGAAGGGTGGCCGCATGCTGTTGTATTTCCAGGTAGTAGAAGGCAGAGAACCCGAATAAATGTCCATCTCCTTATACTTACTCTGAATCAAACTTTATGTGCAAACTTTAGCCACATGGTGGCATGGTGAGCCTAACAACAGTCTTTCCTGGCAGGGGGATGGGTGAGGTAAAAGAAATCAAAACCTAAGAAAAAAACTGGACTTGAGGCAAATAATTTTTGCCTTGCTATTGTCATTCATGCAAGTGACAGAACGGACAAGAGACAGTGCATTATTTGACCTAGAGAAACCCTCAATCAGGCAAGGAGAAAACATCTAGATCTGGATTTTCCGTTGATATTTTTTCATTTTCAGGTGAGTTTTTCCAGACCTATCATTTTCCCCCTAATCTGGATAGAAGAAGGAAGAAGGGGAGGAGGTGGAGGAAGGATGAGGAGGAAGAGGGAGGAAAAGGAGGAAGAGGGAGGAAAAAGAAGAAAGAAGTCACCTGATCCAAGGACTTATCTAAGAAAAAATAACCTGAATTTAGGATACTATTACCTAAAACAGGTTGCCCTATTTCTTTAGAGATGTTTGTATATTTTCATTTGGAAGGATAAGGACTGTACTTAGAATGAAAGTGAAAATGATACCTGTCTTAGAATGGGGAAACAAAACATTAAGAAAAAAAATCCAAACAATATCCATAGAAATAATTCTTTTGAGTGATAATATTTTAATATGTTACTTTAACATATTAAAGAATAATTGTTGGCTCAGGCTAAGGTAAAAACCAACTGTTCAGTTGGGTCATTTATATCTTGTCCAGGGTTGCTCTCTGCTTAGAGCCTGAAATAGTTTTAAAAAGATTTTTCAGAATTTCATTTGGAAATAATAAAAAATGTGAAAAGTATTTTGACTGCAAATTTGAGAATCACTTTATGAAAGAATTGTTATAGTAGTATCTAATTAATTGTAAGTTAGAATTCTATCACACCTTTCCTTATTATGTTCTGAGATCTCTGACCTAATACATATGATGACTTGTTAGTGTGACAGTAGGATGTTCATTCAGTTTAGTGTAATGTGTATTTGCTCAATGTCAGTAACACAATGGTATTCAGCAAAGCTACTGCTCCTTGAACTGCATGTCCTCAATTTATGAGTATCTAGCAAAGTCAAAATGAACTCCTTTAAACATAGTCTTCTATTCCAAGACACAGAGTCCACAAAGCTCAGTGTATTTCAAATGAACCTAATTCTATATACACAGATAAAGGTTGCACAAGGCAACTTTTTTTTTTTTTGTCTAGATAATATTGCTTCCAATTTGGAAGTTTTGGAATAGATAGTAAAGTTCTAAACACCCATGTAGATTACTTAGCTACACCTAAAAACTAGCTGAACTTAAGGGAAGTATTGGCAAGGGAGGAACATTTTTCATTAGACTAAATGACTTTAGATTACTACTTA